ATTATTACTTTCACCAGATGGACTGGTCTTTGGGTCATGCTAGATGTCGCAAGCCATTCTGCATGCCGGCAGTATTATGTTGCTTTTTGTTTTCTGGGAAGTCTTAGGGCGATCCACCAGTATTCCAGCACACCTATATGAAACTCAAGCTAGTTGTTTTTTGGACAGGATTAGCATTATCTTTCAGTTTTTTTATTCTAAGCCCATGGTAAAGTCACAAATGTCAAAAAGGCTGTATATAACATACACTACTAAACCACACAAATATCGAGTTCCCAATTGCACTTCTTGAGAGTCACGAAGGAGCAGAATGTTAGAAATCAACTGCCAACAGATTTGTACGGGATTAGGCAGTTTTGAGTTAATACGGACAAGCATAAAACTGTAATCTTTGTAGGTTTAATAAATCTGGACCTTTACTTCTCTTTTTGCCTTATAAAAAAGAACTTGTAGTGCTTTTAGTTCCCTGAGCAAAGTAAACCTATATTCTAGTGGTTTTACGTGATTTATTTTAACTTTGATTGTGTAAGTTTAATCCCACGGCTCATCCTAAAATATTTATATTAACTAATTATGCAATCCTATCTATTCATATTTGTCATAAGTAGGTCAACACTGGCCCACATGCCCACTTTCTTCTTCACTAGCCTTAGTTGATATAGTTGGCATTATGACGACTTATAGGGAGTTCAACATTTTTGATCTGTTAAGATTTGCCAACGTGTGAGTAGTCTCATGCACTTAAAATGACCCTTAATCATATAATTGTTGTTAGCATTTAGTACAGTTTAGTTGGATGAGCTGTTAGATACGAATTAAGTATGGTGCGTTCATGCATATCGCTAAAGTAGGTTATTTTACATCATTCAGTTCCACGTGTAAGTAGTGCGCTGCCTGGTGCTAATGATCAGTATATAAAATTCATAACTCAATCTTGAGGGTGCTCAGATTCGCAAAGGTTTTCTCTTAGTTTGCGGTCACTATCTTTCATTGTACTCTTTTCTTTCAAAAGTTACTATTCTTACACTTTTCTAGCACTGGACGGAACTCCACCTCCATTGTAGCACTGTACACTGTTAGCATATGTCTAAAGTGAAGTCCTAAAACGATGTTATAATTTGTGCATTTAATTGTCACTAAATTATCTATTCATATACTTTACTCATTCCTAGCTAACAATATCCTCAATAAAACGTCTGCTGACGTCTTTATTTAATTATGAATAAACTCGTTCCATTGCTTCTTTTTAGAAACCTCGACCCTTTCACAGAAACGGTATCTTTTTCTTGATCAACAAAGTTTTAAACAGTAAAATTCTTTAAAACGATTTAAATCCATATTATACCTTATCATTATATCATGCACTTGTGCTAATAATGTGTTACGTCACGAAAAGCGTGTTTCCCCTGACTCCCAAGATTGTAGTACAGTTCATCGTACTACATGCAGTACATGTCCATGTGGCCGGAGTATATGCGGGTCGCTGAGTCACCTATTCTGACGGTGTTTGCTTCGAAGGCAGACTCGGTGCTGGGGGGTAGGGTGATGGGTTACATGATCGCCAAGTCCGAAGGCTATGGCGAGAATTGGCACGGCCACGTAACTGCGCTCTCCGTCGCACCCGAGTACCGTCGAATGGGTCTCGCCAGTCGTCTTATGCTTGAATTTGAAGATACCTCTGACAGGCAGGTCCAGCTTTTCCATGAATTCAACTGTGTATGGCCCGTCGGATTTGTCGAGTTCACCTTTCGTTTGGCGTTGTAGAAACTGAAGTAATTATTCCCATGCACCTTAAAGGTTTACTTGTGAGGTAAATACCGTACAGTGCGTGACTCACTTAATTTGTTGGCTATTCTACGGCTGACTTTTCATTTTTGAGCTGGTCTTTGTTGCTCAAATCCATTCTTGAACAAAAGGATAACTTCAGACAAGTTCTCATGTTATAACTTTGTCCTTCGTGCTATTAATTTTGGATCGATATCTACACGGCTAATATTAACTAGTGGTTGTTTTTACAACTTGGCGTCGGATGTTGGAGCTAGAGTTTTGTTCGGCATTTCTTAGTCTTTTGCAAATTTGAGTTCGGAGGTGCGCATAAGTTTACTTACCTTATGATAAAACTATTTATTAAACAAAATTTGGCGAAATCTTTGGGGCTGTTTCACTCTGCTCATTGGGAATGAGGGTTTTCGTCCGTTTTCTTGGTTATTGCACCTTGCCTTTTGGTGACCTTTTTTGATTACTTTATCTTTGTTAAGCAGTCACTTGTGCTCCGAGTGGTGGGAGACAAGCAATCGACAAGGCCTCCAGGTTGAGCGAGTTTTGTGTATGTTTCAGGAAGAAGTGCTACTTTGCTGACCTCTTCGTGCGCGCCTCGAATGAGCTGGGACACTCGGTCTACACGAAGTTGGGCTACATAATCTACCGTAGGGTGCTCAACTACTACGCAGGCAAGGACGATGGAGAGGATGCCTTTGGTGAGCCTTCCTCTTCACCAATATGCTGGGAATACACCAAGGGATTGCAGTTGAATTGGTATCGCGCAGATCGAGGCGGCTGGTCCTAATGACTTGGCTACAAAACTCGTGTGCTCGTCAATGTTGATGTGTGCTTTACTGGACCCAAGACTAGTAGCCTACCAAAAGCATCACGTTATTGGTTACTCTAAAAATACCGAACTTAAATTATTGATGCTCAAAAGTGGAAGTGATGGATTCGGTTCTCGAAACGGATTTTAATGCATTCACGACTTCCTAGACATTGGGTAGATGTTGTGCTTAAAGTAACATAGAATGTAATGTCATTTAACACTTCGTTTTAGACATGCGGAAGGCACTCTCGGCGGACAAGGATCGTCGGTCCGTTAAACCCATGACTCGACCTGTGCATGTTGATGAGTTGGAATTCACCTGACATTTTTAATCTATTGTCTTATTTTTTTGGTGTCTTTGGGGTTTTTTGCCAATGAGGGCTGAATCTTAGCAAAATAGTGCATCGCTTGGCTTTCACTTTTATTTCTCTTGTATTATCCTGAAAATACTCCATTTGTGTTAGACCAATACTAGTTTTCTCGCAAGTTTTCGGTATTCCTAGACGGTAAGTAGTTAATCATTTGTAGAATTTAATGAACTTGACACACCTTGATATTTAGGTTCACAGACTTAAAGTTCGAAAAGTGTATAAAAACGGCTGGCCTTTCTAAAACCAGCATTAACCTTGCTAAAATTTCGAGCCACACTACTATTCTCGAAGTGTTTAAGAATTCGTGTTGCTTATGGACTGTCGCTGCCGTATTCCGAGTTTCTAAATCTTGTACTGACTCTTAGAGTCATGTATCAGGAAAGTTAACGTGCTCTTGTAGGAAATTTAGGCGGGCTATATTTCCTAGAGACTGAACTGCATTTAATTTTAAGGAGTCGGCGTTGAAACTGGTCTGTGTCACTTTGGTAGAAGATAGGAGCAACGCGCTCGGGTTGCTTGCAACTTCCCTCGAAATGCATTTAAATTATTGTTCGATTAGACAGAGGTGAGAGGGTGTGCTTTTCCTTCGAGTACTTCTCTTCTCAGCTAGTTTTAAATCACCCACAGGTCATGGAAGATGCAACTGCACATCTTGTGTACGGCATAATTGTGCATAGCCATACCGGCATGGATTTTATTTCTGACGTCAGGCTAGAAAAGTGAGGGTGGGGAGGAAGCATTTGACTGAATGGTGTCTACCGTCATAGGGTGACGTCATGCATAAATCGCTCATTATTTTCATAACAGGTATTTGTTTGCATTTGCCTTGGTGAATATATTTGATTTGAAGCAAAACAACTTCTAAGATCAGTAAGTGTGTAAACTTGGATGAAAACTGTAGTATGGTGTGGTGCTTGAGGCTCTCGTGTTAAATAACTTATGTTACCATTGGTAATAATAGGCATTTTTACTCGGCTAGATCTATTTCTTAGTTGAATCAGTTAGCAATAAACGGTACTGAGACGTTTAGTCGATATTCTGAAGTCGAAGTGGCACTCGTACAAAGTCATGGACACGGACACGAGCTGTTTCAAGTTAAATAGTCAAGCCACGACAACTGACTCCAAAAATTCACTGCTCCACTAGATTTTAGGACCTTTTGGGGTGATAAAACATCTGCCTTCATTTTTCCATGTGGGTATGCTCGAATTATGCAACAAGGCGTGTGTCTGGCACAAATGTGTCCCCTGTGTTTCTAAACGATTTGAGGTAGCAAAGCTTTTCAACTTTCAACTAGACGATATTTATGCCGTCGGTGAATGTAAACGGCAGTAAAAAAAATTAGAAAGTAGGCGTACAGTCTTGAAGAGGTGATCTCAAACACACGAAGAGACGCCCCCAACCACATCCCGTCATGTGCCCTCCAAGCATTCATCACTCGGAGGAGTCGTGTGTGCGTTGTGATGTCGGACATGGATCAGTGATTCACGTCTAGGCCAAATTAGAGGGCCTCGGATGTCACCTTTACCGTGAGGCATGGATGCGTGATACGCGGGTCTCACGTGCATACGGAATGCGCATCAAACGAGTAAAGCATTAATATGACATGGTGGGTAAGGTGATACCATTATCATTTGGCGGTACCAAATTACCATGGCAACAAATTGCGCTGCTATTTATGCTCTGCGAGGACCCGCACCTATCATCGCATTGAAACGTGCATAGAGAATGCGATGCGCCAAGTTGTCGTTGTGTTTCTACCACGGCAAAGGGTCACTGTCAATCCTGGTAGACGTCTAAGCTAAAGCCGCAAATGCGGCATATTCAGTGACCTCTAATTAGCACTTTTCAGCGACTAAATTGTCGCCTTCTTATCTACTACTCCTTTAAAGGATGAACAATTTACGACTTTGCTTGTCCTGTTGGAAATTATGAGGTAACGATGTTGTGTTTTTGCTTGAGCATCAAGTCATCCGTATGGGAGTAGTCGACGTCCGCACAAACAGTAGTGTGGTGCGCTCAGTAATACAAGCAAAGGAATGGCAGGAAAGATCACTTCAGATGCGCATGAAAAAGGCCCGATAATATCACAATGAAGGGGGCCATCAGTTCGGAGCAAAGGTAAATCATAATGAAGTAGGAATAAAGCACACATATTTCAGTTGCGTCAGAAATTCAGAGGACAACTGTCAGCTTGTGTAGACTTGATGAGAAAGATTTCAGTAAAATGTCTGGATATTACTGAAAAGTGGTAAAAAGTACACAAAACAATAACGCGACACAATTAAAGTTACCTAGTCGTGATACAAGAGCATTGGCGAGTTGACTGAGAAGATATGAGATAACTGTAGTGCCTACCTGATGCGCATTTGGATAAGATGCCTGGTGCAACACTTCGATTAGTTGTTTGACTCTTCATTTTAGTTTAGCAGACACTTGAGTCTCCGCCATTTTACTTCCATGGGGCAGCGTAAGGTCTGAGCTATGCCAGTAGCCAATCAGCCCTCTCCACACCAGCAACACATATTCAGACCATGTGTCATGTCTTCTGCCGTCTCAGGGGAAGTTATGATATGCTGTAGTATAAATGTTGGAAATTTGGCTTCACCACACATTCTGCCCTAGTAATGCCTTCCTTCTGCCTCAGGGGAGACTGAAGGTGATAGCCCTAGGACCGATCTATGACGCCTTACTAACGAAACATTTGCATCAGACGAATCGAGGCAAATGTAGCACATTACTTACTATTGGGTAAGGTCAACAATGGATAATAGCACAAACGCGACCATTCTACAAAAGTCACATTATAATGCGTTGGTTGTTTGTTG